CCTGGACTGCAAGGAGAACAAACCTATCCATTTTGAAGGAAATCAATCCTGAGTGCTCACTGGAAGGACAGATCCTGAAGCTGAGGCTCCAATACATTGGCTAGCTCATGAGAAGAGAAGACTCCCTGGAAAAGACCCTGATGTTGGGAAGGTGTGAAGGCAAGAGGAGAAGGGGACGACAGAGGACGAGATGGCTGGCCAGTGTCTCCAAAACGATGAACATGAATTTGACCCAACTCCGGGAGGCAGTGGAAGACTAAACCAGGGGTCCCCAATCCCTGCGCCGTGGATCGGTACCGGTTCATGGCCTTGGAAGGACTGGGCCTCCAGGACAGATGAGCAACGAGCAGGAGGTGAGCGGCAAGCAAAGCTCTGCCTCCTGTCAGCGCACTCCTATTAAGTTCTAATGCCACTTCTAATCTGACTGGAGGCAGAGCTTCGCTCCGCACTCCTCTCCTGCTGCTGCTAGATCAGCTCTGCCTGTGGCATTAGAATCTAATTTGGTTCTAAGCCACTGCTGATCTAAGAGGAGACCTGTGGCATTAGAATCTAATTCAGTTCTAAGCCACTGCTGATCTAAGAGGAGGCAGAACTTCAATTGAAGCTCACCTCCTGCTCCTACTCACCACTTCCTTTATGAGTTCAATTCAAAGCTATACTCCAGCAACTTACTTCATAACAAGTACTCCCCTCCCCCAGTCTTTGAGAGAATGGTCTTCACCTAAACTGGTCCCTGATGTCAAAAAGCTTGGGGACAACTGCTCTAAGCCACCTTGGATCCTTAGGAGAAAGGCAGCATATACATATTTTAAGATAAATAGGAACTGTTCTTCACCAAATAAGCAGAGAGCCATGTGAATTGCTCTGGTTCCATCCTTCAGGCCTTGATTGGGCAAAGTATGATCCAGAGTCACATGGAATCTCTGAGGGGTTTTTTGTTTGTTTGTTTGCAGACTCTCCCATGCCCTCCCCCCCCAAGGAATGGTTTCTTCCAGTAAAAAAAATGTTAATTGACTCTAATAGAAACATGCCAGAGCATGTTTTGGTCCCTTTTAAATAGGTTGCAGCTCTTCCCCATGCCCAGGAAATTTCTGAATTTTAGAATTGGAAATAGGTCTCTGGCTACTTCCTTCCTTCCACATTTTGTGCAGCTCCCTATGTAGAAAATTGCCCCCTGGAACTGCCAGCATTGCCCACTCACCACCTTTATAGAGCTGGCAAACTATCCCTCTAGGCACGCAGCTTTGCCCTCCACTTTTAATGTGGCAGATGCTTTCTTCGCAAACAGCACCAGCATAGATTCTTCAGTCATATATAAAATGGTGAAGATCCAGTTGTTACACAACTGCTCTCAGATTAGTCATTGATCTAGCTTTTACATGCCAGCTAGAAAAGAATAAAATGAGACAAGAAAGCAAAATTTTCCTACACGCTGGGTAAGTGTTGAGAAAGGCAGAATTTCTGATTTCTCAATATATGTCACCAATGATGTTTTTGTTGGATTTGGGGGTGGGGGTGGGGGACAAGACAAAGCTGTACTTTTGCAGTACAGATCTTTTTTCATAATTTTTATTGACATTTATGATGGAAGTTTGTTGTTTTGTTGATTTTAGACCTAGGAAGGGTTTAAGTTCAGATACTGACATCTGTTCCAGCCAGCACTGCCAATGGCCAGAGAAGAAAGGAATAGTAGTCCAGATGCCCGAGATGTTTATAGAATTTGCCTGTTGACTCAAGAAATAAAGCTGGAAATAGACATCCAATCTTTTCCAATTATGATTTTTCCTTTAAAAAATATATTCTCCGGGCTCGTATAGCTTGTGGTTAATCTTGGAGCAGAAAATAGTCCACCCCTGCAATAAAAAATGTGCAATCTGGCCGCTCCCTATTCTTAAGCTACAAGTTGAGGTAGTCACAGCATAGTGAAAAATCAATTGATAAATCAGTTTTGAGGACTGGATCCTAAAGCTTCCATGATCTTACATTCCTTCTCATAGCATCATTCCACTGAACATATTTTTATAATTTGTTACTTGGTATCCTAATCATTAGTATCTATCTTTCTATGGTCAGGAACCTGTTTTGGAACCACTCCTGCCGTGATCCATTAGATGAGTGGTTTGACATTTTCTGATGTTCCATAAGAATGTATCTAGTACCTCATTATGCAGACAGAAGCCTCATTGAACAATGTGGTATCCACATGTGCAGCAGCAAGCTGAAGAACATGTGAAGCTCTGGTGGTGGAGCATCATTTTGTTCAGTAAAATCCTATGTACAGTGGTGCCTCACTTAGCGACGTTAATCCGTTCCAGGAAAAATGTCGTTAAGGGATTTCGTCGCGGAACGGATTTAAAAAGCCCATAGAAACGCATTAAAACATGTTTAATGCGTTCCTATGGGCTTCAAAACTGACCTTATGTGAAGATCCTCCATTGCGGTGGCCATTTTGGGTGCCTCTAAAACGGTCGCCATTTTGTTTTTCTGGCGGCCATTTTGGAACTGCCAATCAGCTGGTCGAAAACGGGGGCTTTGCGATGATCGCTTCCATGTGATCATCGCAAAGCAATTTTTCATCATAGGGGCCATCACAAAGCGATCGCTTTTGTGATTGCAAAAACAGTGTCGCAAAGCGGTTTCGTCGCTCAATGGAGCGATCGCTATGGGAGGCACCACTGTATATGTTATAATATGCATGTACAGATTGGAAAAGATTAAAATGTGTCATCATAAACTCCAAGTTTATTTCATTAAAATGTGAAATAACTAGTCTACAGCATATCATCCTGTTATTTCTTAGAGCAGAGAATCACAAATAAAAATGTGAAATGGATGTCTGTCTGTTTTCTGATACTAGGAACTACAGAGCGTAAAAGTGACTGAGTTTCAGCCAGGAATCCCAGAATCATTACAGGATGAAGATAAAGTCTCAAAACACAATAGCCATCTTGTTGCAGACAAGCCAATCCATCTTAGAGAAGGCCAAGAACAGAAAGCAGAAGGCAAAGGAAACCAAGAAAATCACTGGGTGAACATTGAGACTGAAAAGAAAATACAAATGGCAGAAGCAAAAGTAAAAAGCTTTATGGAACCAAGAGGTCTTCAAGAATCTGAGGAACATCAAAGAGAACAAAAAAGAAAAAAGCAGAAATTTCAGGAGGAGCAACTTTTTAAAACTGAAGAGAGAAAAGTTCAAGAAGGAGGGAGACATCAAGAATGTCCAGTTCAAAGGCACAAAGGAGAAGACGAAAAGGGAGGGAAGGAGGAGGAACTTAAGGAACGTGGGGGACATCCACAAGCAGAAGATGAACCTCAGGAACAAGAGGAAGAAAAGCAGAGACATCAAGAACTGGAGGCCCAAATGCAACAGGGAGGACACAGAGATCATGAACCAGAAGCAGGGCAACAGAGGAAAGAAGAAAATCTATGTGAACTGGAGGCACAAAGGCAATGGGAAAAACAAAACCAGCAGGAACCAGAGGCACAAAAAGAACAGGAGGAACAAGAACGATGTGAACTGGAAGCACAAAGACAATGGAGAGAACAAAAACAAAGCGAATTTGAGGAACAAAAAATACAGGAAGAACAAAAACAGTGTGAACTGGAGGCACAAAGGCAACAGGAAGGGAAAAACCAGTATGAACAGGAGGCACGAAAACAAAAACAATGTGAACTAGAGGCACAAAGACAAGAAGAACAAAGACATTGTGAATTGGAGGCACAAAAACTACAGGAAAAACAAAGGCAATCTGCACTGAAGGCACAAAGGCAATGGGAAGAACAAAGACAGCATGATCTAGAGATACAAGGACAACAAAAAGAACAAAAACAGTGTGAACTAGAAGCACAACAGTTACAGGAAGAACAAAGCCAATGCACACAGGGCACACAAGGAACACAGGATGAACTAAGGCAGAGAGAATTGGAAGAACAGAAACAGCAGGCAAAAAAGAGCCGCCAGGAAGAAATAGAGGACAAAAAACCACATGAAAAGCTGTTGCTGCAAGGATGGAAAGAAACAAGAGAAGATCTGGAGAAGCAAAAACAGCAGGAAGGGACACAAGGTCATCAGGATTGGGAAGAGAAGAGAGGAAGAGGAGTGGAAGAAGAAACGCATAAGGCTGAAAAGCGGGATGAACTGAGCCAACAAGTACTGCAACTACAAAAAACAGGGCAGAGACAGAAAGCATTAGAGAAACAGAAAGCTCTAGAAGGCAAAGAAAAATTGCAAGGAAAAGATAGTGCCACTAATTTGGGAAAGCAAAGGAGATCAAGGGGGCAACAGGAGAATCTGGAAGCCAGGCAAATGAGCAAGGATGAAGAAAAGCAGCAAGAACCCAAGAAGCAAATTAGGTCACCAGAATATGGAAAATGTGAATCAGCAAAATTAAGGCAGTCATGGGATGAAAAAAGCAAGCAACCAGAAGAACAGATACAAAGAGAAGGGGATCAAAAACTAGATGAAGAAAAAACACTGAGTTTAGAAGGACAACCGATACAGGAAAAACCAAAAGAGCAAGACAAAACCTTCCAACAGCACCTGGACAAAAATGTGACTTCAGAAGAGACACATATAGAGACTGTGAAGACAGAACTTCCGCTGAAAGAGCGAGTAAGCCAGCAACAGATGGAGCAGGCAGACAAAGACCAGAGGAAAGAGGGGACCCTGAAGAGCAGCCAGAGGAGGAACATTGAAGCTCAGGAGCAGGAAAGAATTCTTGGAGAAGAGCTACGGTGGCAGGAAGTTGATGCAAGACAAACTATGCCACGGGGATTCACTTTCCAAGTATCATCTGGAGAAAAACAAATAATATTCCAGAAAGTGAATTTGAGCCCAGTTACTCCTGCTAAAGAGCCACCAGTTTCTTCCGACACAAAAGAGCTTAAGACACTGAAATCTGGCAAAGGTTCTCATGATCTCCCAAGCTCTTTATATGTCCCACATACCGCGATTTTGGTCACTGGAGCACAGCTCTGTGGCACTGCAGTAAACCTCAATCAGATAAAAGATACAGCTTGTAAATCTTTACTTGGCTTAACAGAAGAAAGAAAAATGGTAGATGTGGCACCACCAGAAAACACTCAGAAACTGTCTCCTGAAGCCAAGCCAAGCAGCAGTAAAATGAAGCCTGCTGAAGATCCATCAGGCAAGCAGGCCATACTAGCTGAGTGGGCTTCCATTAGATCAAAAATCTTAAAAACTGCAGAAAATGGCAAACTTCATGAGAAAGACAAAGGAAGCCTCAGTCGACACAGTGATGATTGGGCATCTAAAGGGCGAAGCACTCCCCATGGTAACTTGCGGAAAACTTTGTCTGCAAATGCAAAGTTTTCTATAACTCCTGCATGGCAGAAGTTTTCAGAAGTTTCAAAGAGTAGCACTGGTGCTGAGAGTAGAGCTGGTACTGTGGCAGACAACACAGCAAGAGAGTTGGGTCCATCCACTGTCCATTCAAACAGAGAAGCAGTTCATGCTGAAACAGTGTCTGGTACAGTGAATGTACACGGATCGCCTGTAGGGAAACCCAGAGTGCATCATGAAGTGGCAGATAACACAGAGGGTTGTAAATTTGCCAAAGATCTTCCATCCTTTCTTGTTCCAAGTGCTACATGTTCTCTAAGTAAAGAAATGCCCCAGTCCGAGACCTCTGATGCTACAGAAACCCCACAGAATATCAGTACAAGAAAACTAGACAAAGCTTCACCAAATGGAGAAGAAAATATTTCTCCATTTGGGGTAAAATTAAGAAGGACCAACTATTCCTTGCGTTTTCACTATGATCAGCAAGCGGAACAAAAGAAGAAGAAAAGATACAGTGCAGGAGATAGTTTTGATGGTGTTCCAACTCCTCTAGTTACACCAGACAGTGAACAAGATCCAATTAATATATTTTTAAAAGCAAGTAAGTCTCCTAGCCAAGAGAGAAAGGATACCATTTCTAATTCTGTAAAAGCTTCTTCAGTTAATACTAATCAAAGCTACATTACAGGTGGCCTGGTACCAACTTGCAGTCATGGCTCTGCACCGAGTCAAGAGAAACCTATCTGTAAATCACCACTCCCACAAAAACCTGCACTAGCCCCAAAGCCCACCAGCCAAACTCCACCATCGTCCCCTCTCTTGAAAATCCGAAGGCCTATGTTAACAGAATCTTCAGGGCAAAAGCAGGGTAAAACTGAAAGTGGCACCAGCTGGCGAAAAATGGAAGCTAAAGGAAGCTCTCACCTTTCACAAACACCTGAAGAAAGGAAGAGTGAAGAGGAAGAGTCTAAGGAGAAAAAATCATTTTTCCCATCCATCCCCATGCCATGGAGAGAGAAAGCCGAGAAAAAGCCAGAGCCACCGAAAAAAGGTAGGCAAAGTATCACTCCAAAATGTAGCTCTGTTGTGAAATAGAGAGCTCGGTGTGCAAAATGTCAGTCATGAAAATCAGTGTATGATTGTTCATTGTTTTATTACTTATTATTACACCTCAGCATTTTTTTTAAAAAAATGCACATGCTACCAATGATTTCAAACATGTACGACTCATTGATAAAGTCATTATTTTCATGTGTAAAACAGCTACAGTATTTTAGATTTAGAACCATGAAATGTTTTTGAACTATATGGCATCAAGGGAAAGGAAAGGGAAAAAAGAATAACCTGTAACTCATTTTGATGTATATACAGAGTCTGTAGGTCACTATTTATAAATAATACAATTTGTTGCTAGATTTTTTTAAGTGGAGGGTAATGTGGGTGTAACCTGATATATTTCTCATTAATATAATAAGTAACGACAGAATCCTTTTAGGAGTAATGAATAACATTTCTTTTTTTTCAAAGAAAGTTACTTTTTAATACTGTATTATTCAAAGGTTAAATTTTAAGGGCCCTTCAAAGCTTTTAAATAGCAATTTCAATGGGAATTCTCTACGTTTTATGCTATATTTAAACCATTGTATTTTAAGAAGTGGAATCAAAATTGATGACTAGAAGGGATCAGAGAGTAGTTCCCTGTATTTTTTCTGAGTTGCTGATAGCAAGAATAAAACATGTGACTGATGCATCAAAAACCTTTGTGGTTGGGGCCATTATAATGGTAGCAACAATTTCACTGCCCCAAAGCAATGAGCAACATGATGATTTAATTTTTCAAAAATAAGTTTATAAGATATGTTTAAATGTAAATCTGCCAAATTAATGTTGAAATATTCCTGCATGTGCAGTATTGTGTAGAGGAATTATGTGAACGGGAAATGCATGTTTAGTTTGCCTAGTTGCATCCTTTGACCATATCAACCATTTTCAAGGCTTACATGACAGTAAAGCTCATAGCAATTATTTGTAATTCAGAACAGATGTTTAGTTGCTAGTTTGTATACATGTGCAGAGAGAAGTGTGTATCCAAGCATGTTCACGTGTGGGAAATTGGGCACCACTGCAGTCTGGGTAGAATGGTCCTTAGTATACAGTATAATTCAGAAACAGAAAATATGGAAAAATAATGAATAGGCTATCTGTCTGTGAAGCCAGAGGAGTTTAATACCTCACTGTTCCTCTAAGGAGAAGAGCCAGCCTGGGTGGCCTTGGGCAAGCTGCACAGTCCCAGGGCTCCCCCAGAAGAAGAGAATGGCAAACCACTTTTGATTACCCTTTATCTAGATAACCCTGAAAAGAGCTGCCAGAAGTTAGAATTGACTTGACAAAACACAATTATTATTATTTATGAATGAATGAATGGAATAGTTAGCTAAGAAAACAGAATTTACTTAAAGTGTATTTCAACTTTGGAGGCCCAGAATTATATGTAATAGAAACCTATGGATTTTTATTCCATCCAAATAAGAAGAAGAGGAAGAAGACAGGACACTTGAGAAGATAGTGTATAGGGAATGCTGGATATGGCTCTGTCTTCATCTTAGTAAGGTAGGGCACCCATATGCAGATATTGTATGTGTATTCCTACAGAGATTCGTGCTTGGGAATTTTCTTATTCACTCCAGTGGAGGGTGCAGTTTTGCACATTTATCTCTCTATTAATGCAGAACTTCTGTTCCGTTGAAATGAATGGAGAAGCCATTGCTAATGAAACAGTTTTGTGCAACATGGGAGCAAGAGGTACATAGCTGCACAGAGATGTCCTTTCTGTGAACATCTTGTATGTGGACTTCTAGACTCCACGTTCTATGTGTCATTTACCATCTTGAAAGTTTGCTCAAATATTTCAGAATAGCATATCAAATAACTCCAAAATTAACCCCCCCACATACAGACGCTTTCCAGAAATAGACCAAGGTACTTTTGCTCACAGATGCTATAGATTAAACAAGCTTTGACATTTCTAGGGCAGCTCACATCAAGACCTAAGAAAGCAAAAAGTTGGTAACAAAATTTGAACAAGTCAGCTGTGCTGAAGTCTTATCCAATTCCCCCTCCCTGCCTGAAACAATATCAAAGCCACACCCAAGGGAAAAAGGGAAACAGGAATACTTTTAAATGCTATGTTGGTAAGGTAAAGGTTCCCCTTGACAATTTTTTGTCCTGTCGTGTTCGACTTTAGGGGGCGGTGCTCATCCCCGTTTCCAAGCCATAGAGCCAGCATTTTTGTCCGAAGACAATCTTCCGTGGTCTCATGGCCAGTGCGACTTAGACACGGAACGCTGTTACCTTCCCACCGAGGTGGTCCCTATTGATCTACTCGCATTTGCATGCTTTCGAACTGCTAGGTTGGCGGGAGCTGGGACAAGTGACGGGCGCTCACTCTGTCACGTGGATTCGATCTTACGACTGCTTGGTCTTCTGACTCTGCAGCACAGGCTTCTGCAGTTTAGCCCACAGCGCCACCACGTCCCACCTATGTTGGTACTACTAGTAAACTACTAGTAAATACAATGGCCCCTTACACAGAAAATGAAGTGAAGTAGAATAACTGAGATTTTGGATAGTCTGGGTGGAATTCTGCTCATTCCTTCTACATGCACAGTGGTCGATTGGGCAAGCAGCTGCATGGTTTCCAATCGTGTCTAAGAATATGCTGTTTGATGCCTCCTCATGCAAGCCAAGAATCTGTTGAACCACTGTGGACAGTTGTACAGGCAAAAGGAACAAAGAGGATTTTACCCTTTGCCACCACAAGTTGGTGCTAATTAATGAAATGCCAATCATGTTCCTTGTCGTATGACAGTCAAGGAAGCAGGACCTTATTATTTACAGTAGTACCTTGGTTTACGAATTTAATGTGTTATACGGGATGTTACGTAAAGTGAAAATTTCATAAACTGGAACGCGGATTGCCGTAGGAATGGGGGTAGTGCTATAGCAATGCATCCTGGGGAAACCGGGGAAAAAACGTAAACCAAGGCATCGTTTTCAACGGATTTCCTTTCGTACTCTGAAAATGACATTAACCAAGGTGTTCATAAATCGAGGTACTCCTGTAGTGGCAATTTGGGGGGTTTGCTGTTGCAATTTAAGCAATTTCAATTACATGCTGACAGAAGTCAAGCTCTTCTTTTTTTAAAAAAATAATCTTGATTGGAGCACTGGGGAGCAAAACCTCTCAGTGTGTTGGAACCAGATTGCAGTGTTGTTACTCTGTGGAACTGTTTGCCACAGGATGTGGTAATGGCATCTGGCCTAGATGCCTTTAAAAGGGGATTGGATAGATTTCTGGAGGAAAAGTCAATTGCAGATTACAAGCCATGATGGGGATGTATTATCTCCAGGCTTAGAAGGAAGGTACCTCAAAATGCCAGATGTGGGGGAGTAGTATCAGGAGACAGTTGTCTAGTTGTCTCATGTGCTCCCAGAGGCATCTGGTGGGGCCACTGTTAGATCCAGGAAGCTGGACTAGATGGGCCCTTGGCCTGATCCAGCAGGGCTCTTCCAATGAATTGTGTTTAGCTAGGTTGCAGAAGCAAAATTCCTTCTTCCTCCTCTTCACTGTAGTCCCCCTAGCTTACTGAAGATTTTACACTAAATAGGGTGAACTGTGGTGTGACAGTGGAGGGAGCAATATTCCCAGGAAACAGGACACAAAAACCTTCTTTGAGCAAAACCCTTCCATCCGTGAAGGCAGATCCTAGAATTTACCTCAAAAACGGATGGAGGATGAGAAAGTAGTAAGTACTGAATTTCAGTGCACACAAGCCAGAAACGGATGTTAGCATGTGACTGGATAAAGAAAAATATTAACTAGTAAAAGCAACTGTGTGTCACAGCATGGATTTCTCTCACCTTCAGGATTATACAAACTAACTAGTTTTATTTTGGGGATTTGTCATCAGGACTTGTGCATGTGATTTCTTTGAAGTCTGATTTCACAGACATGGAAAGACTGCTGTGGACCACTCTGCAACATTAGCAGTACTTTCAGGTCTAATTACAGTCTGTCTCCATCATTTGTGTCTTGCCACCATGTTCAAGACACCATGAGTGCTAGACAAGTCTGAAAATGCTGCATTTTGTGCACTGTTCTGTTGAGGTTTATAGGCCGCAATCGATATCATAACAGTACTAACTTTTAAGGAGACAACAAGCTAGGCCACATAACTAACAACATTCTGCACAAGCTCTCTTTTTTTGCAATTTTCCCTGTATATATTCTATGTTAAAACAGAGCCTCTTTGTGTTGTCTTCCATTTTCTAGATCGGCCAGTTCTTCAGAGCAGACATTCTATTGATGGTTCCAAGCTGGTGGAAAAAGTTGAATCTGCTCAGCCGCTCTGGATCACTTTGGCATTACAAAAGCAGAAAGGTTTTCGAGAACAACAAGCAACCAGGGAGGAAAGGAGGCAAGCCAGGGAGGCAAAGCAAGCTGAGAAACTTGCTAAAGAACCTGTAAGTACATGAGATTTCAAATTATTTCAAAAAGAAAACCAATCACATCCCAAATGATGTGATATTTGGGGTTTTTCTTTCCTTTCTTTCCTTTCTTTCCTTTCTTCCTTTCTTCCTCTCTTTCTTTCTTCCTTCCTCTCTCTTTCTTTCTTTCTTTTCCGGTGTTCTCAGATTTTCAGTATGGTTGAACCTTTATTTAGTAAAAGAGTGGAGAAATTAAGAGGCTCAACTAAAGATTCATTCAGTATAGTGGCCTGTTCATAATAAAGGTATATGGTTAAAAACTGGAGTGTTCAGAGAGCTGTGAGTCAGTAAAATCCCAGCTCATTTCTAAGTATATTTTGTGCTCTTAATAGAGGAATGCAACATTTTTCATGTTACTTGATAAATAGGATGGAAAGCTGATCTTTCAGAGTAGTCTTATTAATAAAAATTGGTATTTTAGAATTTGAGTAAAAATCCCCCATTGCAGAAAAATACATACCTTGGCCTAAATCTAGTTGTCAGCCCAAAACAGAGTAGGCTTACTGAATTGCATTGTTTATGTAAGTTCATTTATTTCAGTAAATGTATTCTAGTTAATAACAGCTGGATGTGCTTTAGATAAATGCTATGTGAATTATTATAAATGGCAACAAGCAAAAATGTCCTCCTATATACATACACACACATGCACAGATTTGTTAAGATCAAAAGTATGAGACGTGAAAAAGGCTTCAGAGCACTATAAAACTTTATAACACCCCGTTATAGTCTGAGTCTGTGGTGGTCTGTTACAGCTCAGCCCTTATCCCTGAAAGGGTTAAATACCAGTGTGAACCACATAGTCATGACATTTGTGTCAAGGTTCATCGGGGTATCAAGGTATAAGTTTGTCCAGTTTAGAAATTTTCATCAGAGCTAAAGAAACTTGCCTGGAATATGTAAGAAAAATGCCTTCTTTATTTTTTCACCCAAATGCTATATTTTGACCTTTGCTACTGAAATACTAAAGTCTGTATTTAATAAACCTTTCTTCTAACGTTATTACAAGTTAACTCCATGTTTTTGACTCCATACTTAATTTAGCTCATTGAAGATAATTGGTCAGAACACACAATGAGCTCTAACAGTTTGGACCGAACAAAAGGTTATCAAATACAGTTTGCTCTATGTAGAAGCCCTCTGTTTTGTCTTTTGTGTACCTAGATTCCATTTGTACTCTAGACCAGCGGTCCCCAATCTTTTTGAGACCATGGACCAGCTGAGCCTCTTCAATAGGCAAAAGTCCAATAAGCCAGTCCTATATCAGAAGTCTAGAAAATGCAAAGCAGATACCAAAATGCCAAAGCCAAAACACAAACCGTAGTCAGAAGTCAGAGTCCAAAGCCAAGGGTCCAGAAAACAAGGTCCAAGATAAGCAGGAGCGTGGATGCAAGCCAGAGTGTTGACTTGTTGCTTCCAAGCCTTCTAGGTGCAGATTATATAGCAAAACAGTCATCAAACTCCTAGAAGCCTTCCATCCTGTTAAAACTCAGGACTGATTCACCTGATGTTCCTGTGGGAAGCATTCATGCGATCCTCAGACCTTCGTGTCATGAGTCTTTGCCAAAGTTTATCCCTTACTCTGACTACTAGGGGAGGAGAATCTGGTGGTGACTCAGCTGTCTGTGCTTCTAATTGCCCAACATTTTCCTCAGCTGTAATTAACCCCTCAGATTCCAGATCTTCGGCTGAATTCATGACACACGCACGCGTGTGCGCAAACCAGTTATGGGGAGGGGAGTGCGTGTGGGGAGGTGGGAGGTCTGTCTCCATGGCCCGGTCCGGCTCAGGCCATGGACCAGCACTGGGCCACAGACTGGTGGTTGACAACCTCTCCTCTAGACCACTAGTCTCGATACATGTTTTGCATTTCTAACTCTTCTTTGGACTTTAAATCACAAGCTTTTAAAATAAATCTTGATGTCTTAAAAGTGTTGCTTCTGTCATGAGCTTAGGTTGTGTAAAGGCCTTAATAGGTGATACCCAGCCTGGTGTTTTTTGGTAAATTTGCTGTATGATCTTTTTTCAAGTCCCTAGTAGGGCTTTTCTTATCATATGCAATTTGAAACTTTTCTGCTCTTTATCTTTTAATACCATAAAAAGCATGCAAACCTAACTGTAGATCATGTCCTTCCAACGTGAATAGTCTATTGTTATCTAAGGCTATTTGTTCCTTTATCCAGATTAATACACAGGCTCTATAATACAATGTCCAGTCTGGGAGACCAAAACCTGCTCTTTGTTTGGTATTTCACATTGCTTTGATTTTAATTCTTGGGGTTTTTTTTACCTTCCTAAACAAATCTCATGATTATCTTAGTTCTTGGAAAAGTTAATCTTGGAATTAAGTTCTTGGAAAAATGACTGTTTTACTATAACAGGAATTGTCTGAAATAAAAATAAAATTTTAGGTAAAATATTCAGTTTGATGGTTGCTATTCTTCCCATCAACGATAGCTGTAATTTATCCCATCTCCCCAAGCTTGTCTGTATCTCTTTATTCAATTTCATATAATTGTCTTTGAATAGTGTACTTGTTTTCTTTGTGATTTGAATTCCTAAGTATCTGACTCTCTTCTCTTCTGGAAAGTTAATTTCTGTCTTTCTCTTAATTTCTGTCATTCTTGATCTCTCATATTTTTATCAAGTATTTTTTTTTAGTTTATTTTCCTTCCCACTAAGTCTCCAAAATTTGTCAGCATCTCCATCAGGTCTTTAATTGAGTCCAGTGGGTCTTCCAATATAATAACTAGGTCATCTGCAAAAGCTTGGAACTTGAAAACATGTCCTCTTACTTTTAGTCCTTCTATTTCCTTTTTGTCTCTAATTTGCTCGGTTAATATTTCTAGAGTAAGAATGAATAATGGTGGAGAGAGTGGGCACCCCTGTCTTGTACCTTTCTGTATTTGCATTTCTTTCATCAGCTCTCCATTGATTCTGCTGGGTATATATTGTTTTAATTAATTTCAAAAATCTTTCTCCCACTTGTAGCACCTCCAGTTGCTGGAGCGTAAAATTCCAGTTCAGATTATCAAAAACTTTCTCTGTATCCAAGAATATCATAGTCATTTGCTTTTCTGGGTGAGGCTCGTAATGTTCCAAAGTATTTAAGATTATCCTTATGTTATTTTTCATCTGCCTTGTTTGGGAGGAAGCCTGATTAGTTTTTGTGTTGCCAACATGGTTGCATGTATTTTATAATCTACATTTAGTAATGAAATCGGTCTATAATTTTTAATTTCTTTACCCTCCGTGTTTTCCTTATGTATGAGAGAGCTTGTCACTTTGGACCACGTTGGTGGTAAGTCTCCCTTTTCCTCAATAAATTCCAAGAGTTTCTTATTTGGTTTAAGCAATACATCTTCCAATTCTTTGTAATATTCACCTGGAAGTCCATCTGGGCCTGGCGATTTCCCTTTTTTAATTGCTTTTTGAGGGCTTCTGCAATTTCTGTAAATGTTAAAGGGTCATTTAAAGATTGGATTTGATCTTTGGTCAGTTTCATTTTATTGTTCAGTATTTCAGCACATATTCTTTCTGAGATTCCTTATCTACTTCCTTTTTGCTGTATAAATTTTGATAGAAGTCCTCTATAATCTTCTTTATTTCTTCTTGTTTAAATTTCTCGGTCCCTGTTTTGTCTTTCAGTGTTTGTATTTTTGTTTTCTCCTTCTCTTTCTTTAATTTATATGCTAACCATCTCCTTGGTTTGTTTGCATTTTTTAAAAATTGTTTTGCGAATTTAAGCTTCTTTGCAGTTTCCTCAGTAAGCAATATATTTATCTGGTGTTGTACTAACTTTACCTTCTCTTTCAATTCTGTGTTTGATGGATTTTGTTTCAACTCTAGTTCATCTGAGGCTAATCTATTTTCCAAAATCTGATATTTTTTGTCTTTCTCTTTTTTGTTTTACTGCAAATCTTATGGCTGCCCCTCTAAAAAATGTCTTACTTGCCTCCCATACCATTGTCACTGGTGTTTCTGGCCTCATATTCTGTTTGAAGAAGAAGCCCATGTCTTCTTTTATTTACTTGATAAACTCCTCATACATTGGGGAATTTTTAACACCTTTTTCTAATTGTGCAATGTTTAAATTGTTATTATTGTGACTGCTACCACTGCTCGTGGACAGTCTATGCCAAATGTAGGCCACAAATACATTTGTAAATAAACAAAGAAACATGTGGCACAGTTAAAAATTGGTCAGTGCTTCAGGCACAAAATACCAATAACAATTAAGCAAGCAAAGCTCTTGGGGGCATTTAAAAGGGTAGTTAAGTAGCAGCCAGTTTATCCCTTAATTGTCCCTATTTTAGGTGCTCTTTTGATCTCCTTATTGGCAGCTATTCCTCTTCCTTTAGAGGCTTTTCCACTGCTCTGTTTTGTATTGTTTCTGTTATTGGGTTAGCAGCCACCTATGTTGTTGAAAAGCAAGCTTCCAGCATTTTATTTCTGTTTCAGTTCAGTTTGAGCTAAACATGCCTCATGAGAAATAAGAGCCAGATACTCACAGTCACAGAGTCAAGAAAGATAGTTTCTCCAAGACTTTCCACCGTGATAAAGTTAGGCAGCTCAATCACCAGACAAGGATACTCTCACAAAGAGAGACTGCTGTCTGAATTCAGAGTTCTCTTGCTGTCCTTAGCTGCAAACCCTACTCTGCTGTAGGGTCTTTCCCCCCATTCTGCTGCTGGGGTGGGGGGGTCTGCTGATCCAGTATTTGCAAAGAGTTCCCAGAGCCCTGGAATTTCCCTCTGCTCTCTCTGCCATCGCCCAAACTTTAGAACTTAAGGATGAAACTTCAGGACTTAAAGTGGAAATTGAACGAAATACCCCAAAGATAGATCATTTAACACAAGCAGTAGGAGCAGCAGAACAACACATTATGGAAGTGGAACAAGAAGTGGAGGAGATAAAGAAGGGGAGAGTTTCATGTCATAAACACTTGATGTATCTGGAAATGGAACGAGCATCATATTGCTTAAGGATTCAAAATATCCAAGAGGAAGAAGCTGAAGATCTAGAGCAGTTGTTAAGTGAGGAACTATCTCGACAAATGAGGATGAAGCTGGAGGAATTTCAACAATCAATAGAATTTTTTAAAGAATGGGCACAAGATATACCAGGAATAACAAACTACCAAGAGAGGTGAATATTAAATTTTTGAAAAGACTAATAAAAGATAAATTATTAAAAGCAAGGAGAGATAATAAAATTAAAATCAAAGGAGCAGAGCTTAGAGTGTTGAAACGAGTTCCTTGGGCTATGTGATAAAAAAGACAATAATATGCATTCCTGACTTGGAGTTGAATGTGGAATGATAACTATAGATCAAACAACTAAACTTCAGAGAAAATGTTTTAAAGGTGTTTTATAGATTGCATTTCACACCTGTAAAATTGGCAAAAATGGCATCGGGGGTTCGCAACTCACGTTGGAAGTGTGGTGAGCAACCTGGGACTGTTATTCATATGTGGTGGACATGTGATAGAGTAAAAAGATTTTGGAGACAGATAAAATATATCACACAATAAATTATACAACAAAAATAGCTTTTAAATCAGAAATGTTTCTGCGGAATATAATGCCAGAAATTGTTGATTAAAGCGGGGGGGCTCGCCTCCACCAGTCTATGACTATGGGCGACAAGAAGAGCCCGACCAGGCCAAAAAGGCAAGCAAAGCCTGCAGCTGATGAAGCCGGCCAGCGAGGTAGTGTGTGTGTGTGGTGGGGGGGCACTTCTTTCCCCGCCATGGAGCAAAGCTGCCATTTGGAGGGTGGGGGAAGGAGGCAGCTATATGTGTGGGGGCTTTTGGGGTGGACAGTCTTTGACCCCCCCCAGCTCGGAGGGGCAGGAGGTGGACCTGTGGGTGTCCTGATGGCCCAAGTGGCCGCAGAGGCGCCCCTCGCAAGGGGGGAGGATGGACTCCGGGCTAGAAGGCGAAAAGGGGAAGCCAGCGGAGGAGAGAGCAGCCGGTGGTGGTGTTGGGGTCTCCCGGTGGAGGGTGGGCTTCCACTGGATCCCTTGGCTGGGATGAGAGGCTCTCCCTTAGCCACCCGCTGCTCTGCTCTCCTCCGGGTGGATCCTCCCACCTCCTCCCGGTCATGCAAGGGTAGCTTTGCCATGATCGCAAAGCGATTTATCCCCATAGGGGCCATCGCTAACTGATCGCTCTGGCGATGGCCAAAACCTCATCGGTAAGCGATTTCATCGTTAAACGGAGCGATCGGTAAGCGAGGCACCACTGTATTAAAATGTTATAACGCAATTATGTCTGTCTTTTGTATTTTATTATTAGGCTAGCATAAATCATCCATCAGATAGTAAGAACACAAATACCAGTAGGACAAGTGCACTCCTAAAAACTCCAGCCCAGGAAGAGAAGAAAATTGAGACTGCCACATCAAGGCTGGAACGCAGAGAACAGCTTAAAAAATCAAACACCCTTCCTACATCTGTGACAGGTAAGATTTACAGCTTCTGTCATGATCATAACTACTCTGTCATTTTTTAAAAGAGCTATGAGCCAGTAGACCTCTTTGTTGACTCACACATCTGTTTGAAGATCCCGTTTCATGATCCCATTTGTCTCCTGAAGGTGGCTCTCTACCTTGATTTTACAGCCTGGCGTGCTCTGGTCCATGGGGTCATGAAGAGCCGGACATGACTTAGCATGTAAAAAACAAGAGTGTAGGCTTTTGAGGTCAATGGTTATGAAAACAGAAGCAGTCAAAAGGAACATGTTAGATATGAAAGTCACTGAGAATTATGATTGCCAAAGCAGTCAATCCCACTGTCTCAGAATTTTGGTAAGGATCAGAAATTGGGTGAAGTAACTCACTTCTCATCCCTGCTTAATGAAACCTTACAAAAGACCAGTTTGCCAAACAGTTACATGTATGTCACATTATTTATTTATTTATTTACTTGCTTGCTTATTTATTTGTTTGTTTATTTCAAAAAAATCTATCCTTCCTTTCTCCTTAAAAGAACCTAAGCAGCTTACATAATTAAAAAAGAGTATTTAAAAGCTAAAAATGGTTAATATACTAACATTAAAAAAAGAATTAAACAAGTATTATATTAAAATGGTAAATAAAGTCAATATCAAATCGCATTTGAAACAACAGAACACAACAATCCATTAAAAAAAAACCCCTCTCAGACCACCAGTCATTAAGGAAAAGAGTGCCTGAAGAGAAAGGTCTTTGCCTGCTTGCAGAAAGGACTGTAAAGATGGAGCCAGCCTGGCCTCCTGTGGGAGGGAGTTCCAGAGTCTAGGAGAAGCGACAGAGAAGGTCCTCTCTTGCGTCCCCACCAAGCGCACCTGTGAGAGTAGTGGGACCAAGAGAAAAAGCTTTCCTGATGACCTTAACACCTGAGTAGGCTCATAAACAGGAGACATGGTCCTTGAGATAGCTTGGACTCAAGCCATTTAGGGCTTTATAGGTTAGAACCAGCACTTTGAATTCTGCCCAGAAGTGGACCAGCAGCCAGTGGAGCAGCTGGAACAGGGGGTTATGTGATCCCCGTGACCAGCCCCGGTTAACAATCTGGACCCTTTGGAGTTTCCTAACATTTTCCAAAGCCCCACGTAGAACATGTTACAGTAATATAAACAAGATGTAACTAGGGCATGTATCACCATGGCCAAGTCAGACCTCTCAAGAAATGGGCACAGCTGGCACACTAGTTTTAACTGTGCAAAGGCACTTCTGGTCACTTCTGAAACCTGGACATGCAGGCTCAGAGATGAATCCAGGAACACCCCCTTAAGCTGCAAGTCTGTGTTTTCAGAGGGAGTATAACCACATCCATCCAGCCTATTCCTTGATCTGCTTCTCAACTGACCCAGAATACCTCTGTCTTGTCTGGATTAAGTTTCAGTTTATTTACCCTCATGTAGACCATTACTGACACTAGACACTGATTTAGAACCAAAACAGCTTCCTTGGATTTAGATAGAAAGGGGAGATAGAGTTGGGAGTCATCAGTGTACTGGTGACACCAAACCCCAAAACTCCAGACCACCTCTCCCAGCAGTTTCATGTAGATGTTAAATAGCATAGAGGACAAAACAGAACTCTGAGGGACGCCAAAGGCCAGCATGTTGAACAGGAGTCCCCCCGGGAAGGACTGGAGCCACTCAGAAACAGTGCCTCCAAGTCCCATCCCAGAGAGACGGCCCAGAAGCATACCATGGTCAATGGTATTTTTGTTTGTTTGTTTGTTTACTTATTTATTTATTTATTAGATTTCTACCCCACCCCCCTAGACAGTGTCTACTCGGGGCGGCTTACAAATATCATAAAATATCACAAAATGTAATAAAATCATCATAAACGTTAAACAATTAAATCAATAATATGGTGTGTTCAAAATGGGAAATAATAAAAAAACAAGGAGATAGAATTCAAGAATTGACAGAAGGGAAAGCCTTCTAATAGATAGAAAGAGCATCCACAATTATATAGTAGTAACTTGCAACAAGAAGACAGAGAGAAAGAGAGAGAGAGAGAAAGGGAGGGAGGGAGGAAGAAAATAATCCAGAGGTAAAGTCTGCAGTCGGTCGAGTTTTTCTTCCACAGAGCCACAATAGTTCAACAATAACACTGAGCAAAGTGAAAGCTCAGCAGAAAAGACACCACTACAACTGTCATCTAGTGTCACTTCAGTTTATTCTCCATAATGAAAGCTATTGGTAGTGAGGTTTAACAGCATAAGAGATTTAGAAAGCACCCTTGTAAGCAAGTACTTGGAAACAGAACGAACGAAGCAGAAATGTACATGGAGCTTTCTTTCCTACAAAACAGCAAAACCAAACCACTAAAGTGATCTCCCCCCCACTTGTATTTAATACTTTTTCAATACTTTTTCACCCGGTACTGAAAAATGCTGAGAGTTCTCTCTTCCTACTGCCCTCCTCTTCCTAGCAATGTTGTCTTTTCTGATAAGTTCTGTGCAGATCTTGCAAACTAACTACTATGGATTCCTCTATTGTGTTAACCCATCTCATGCGATCTCTTCCTCACTGTTCCTCCCCAGTTTTCTCAGCAATATAGTCTATTTTTGTCACTTTTTTTATTTCCATTATATGTGCATAGTAGGATAGACTCAGTTGACTCATTTTTGCTCTAGTTCAGGCTTGACTTGATTGACCATCCACTTTTCTGCCTTTCTGACTGCCTGTGGTATCTATATAGCTCTCATCCAACACCACATTTCAAATGAATTGATTTTTGCCCCTGTATTTCTTCACTTTCTTTCTTTCACATAGTATGGATTATATTGATCTTGGTTTCCAATGCCATTTTTTGCAAACTTCAACCTCTTCTGTTTTATTTGTTTGTTTCAAAAGGCAAACATGCACACAACATATCCATAGCGGTTTTGGTCCAATAGAGCTTTTCTTCCTCAGCTTGTCTAACTCAAAGAAGAGCAGTGTATGTATATTTAAACTGCCATTTTAGAACGCCAAGAAATTCAGTTCTTCAAAAACCCCTGGCTTATGAATGTGGGATATTGTGCTTTTGTACCTACGATTCAAAAAGCCAAAAAGTGCCCCCAAATTGCTGTACAATATTGTGCCCCCATTGCCAGCAGAAAAAAGGATGCCAAGTTTTCTAACTCAAAGAAGAGCAGTGTATGTATATTTAAACTGCCATTTTAGAACGCCAAGAAATTCAGTTCTTCAAAAACCCCTGGCTTATGAATGTGGGATATTGTGCTTTTGTACCTACGATTCAAAAAGCCAAAAAGTGCCCCCAAATTGCTGTACAATATTGTGCCCCCATTGCCAGCAGAAAAAAGGATGCCAAGTTTTACATAGCAAAGGGCAGCCTGAATGTTGACAACACCAATGGCAGCGCTCAAGATGGTCTACCGGAATGAAATTGGAACATAGCTTCCCAGTCTGCATTTAGCAGAGTAGGCATGGCAACATTAGTTCAACCAAGAGGTTAAAAAGTGTGTATGTTTCTCCACTGTATGTGTTGTATCTACTCATACCTTTGCTTCACCATTTCATTAAGTCCAAAACAGTCTTTCAAAATATTTTGTCACAGAGGGACTATAGCCATATCCCAGCTGTTCTACTTCTGTCTTCTCCAATTAACCACAGTACACATCATATGTTCATTTTCTGAAATCCTCTATCCTTCTATATGGAGAAAAATTCTTTTGGAATTTTTGTGTAGTATATGTATATTTAAGCTCCCATTTTAGAAAGCCAGGAAATTCATTTCTTCAAAAACCTCTGGTTTGGGAATGTGGGATATTGTGTTTCTGTACCTATGATTCAAAAAGCCAGGAAATGGCCCCAAATTGCTGCACAATATCATACCTACATTGCCAGCAGGAAAAAGAATGCCAAA